ACACCGAGTCTGGGATTTGAGAATTACAGCTCCAATCCTCGCCAAAGTGACCAAATTACAACTGATGGCTTTTGGCTCCAGGACGTTTCAACAGACTCATGTCTGCTGGGCCGTCACCACCCTCCCCACTCGCTTCAAACCCCACCCCCAAGAGCTCAGGGAAAAGCCATTATTTTGTGATTCTTTTTTTTTTAATTTTTTTTTTTTACGTATTTCATTATTCTTAAGAAATATATACCAAAAACGTGGGGGGGGAGAGAATGATTTTTATATATTTTACAGAGGAGGGAACAAGCATGGAGATTATAATTCAAAGTGAGATGGTGGCATTTCAAGAGAAGGAGGATATTGGCAGGTCATGCTGATTTTCTGAAAGTTGTTGGGCAAGTTGAAAAAGCAACTGGAAAGTTTATCAGAGTGGCTGCTTCCTTGACAGGCACCGGGAGAAAGAATCTCAGACAATGAAGGCAGATTTCTGGCTCCTGGTCAAGGTGCTGACCTATCTTTCCCAGGAACAAATGTAACTGAGAGACAGTGTAAATATGGGCATATTGACAGTGGAAACTCGTACTTTATCGTGCAAAAGACTATGTAAACCAGCATAAGACGAACTACTAGATGTCTGTATGTGTCATTAGAGGAAGTTGTGAAATTCCATGACTATTGAAAAACAGAAATGGTGTGGAGATTACCCTATGCAGATAGTTTCAAGAATGGACAGGCTAATGTTTTAAGACCAACGACCTTGTGGAATCAATGATGTTCAAACATTTCTTTGCAAACCTTTCCTATTCATTCATAAGCCATGAGATTAATACATAGGTCTAGGGAATACTGAAAGTACTTTCATAACCATGATTTCACTTTAGCCTCGTAACGACCCTGTAAAGAGTTGTTACTCCTTATTTTATAGAGAAGGAATCAGTGTGTGAAAGTTAAATACCTGCTCTGAAGGTTAGCACAGAGCAATAAATAGGAGCTAGACCCAGACGGTGTGGCTCAGTGGTTGAGCGTCGACCCATGCACCAAGAGGTTGCCAGTTCAATTCCCAGTCAGGGCACATGCCCAGGTTGTGGGTCCGAACCCCAGTGGGGGGCGTGCAGGAGGCGGCCAGTTGATGTTCTCTTTCATCAATGTTTCCATCTCTCTCTCCCTCTCCCTTCCTCTCTCTCTACAATCAATAAGGAAAAAAAATCTCATTAATAAATAAATAAATAAATAAATAAATAAATAAATAAATAAATAAAGAGGAGACAGTACTGAGTGTTGGTGGTGCCAACAGGGCTAATGTTTTGAATCCTGGTTCTCAAGTTAGTGATGGCTATGTCTGTAGTGGCAGAGAGGGCTGGTGTCACAAAAGTGGTTGGCACATGCTTGAGTGTCCAATACAAATGTGTCACAGTTCGTATATATTTATAGGTAATATTTAAAGTATCAGCAGAGTCAAAGGGACACAGCTTCAAATCTACCTGTTTCGTTGTTGGAGTTAAACATAAAACATCTTTTGACTCAAAAGGTGGCTTCCTATTGGGAGACTGAAGAAAGCTGGATAATTTATACAATGTAGGAAGTATTTTGAATTTGCACAAGTGCAGCTGTATTTCCTTTCCTTATGATTTTAAAAAAAAGGGTTATTCTCATTTATAAATGTCACCATCATCAGTGTGGCCAATTCCTGTTGAAATGTAGGAGAAACGACCATGCAGAGGCTCCCGCACATCCCCTCAAGTGTTCATCATGATCAATGTCTCCCCGGTTAAAAGTGTGCAGACCCTGGAAGTCACTTTGGCTTTGCAGGCCCCGGTTTCTCATGTGCCAGATGAGGATACTGAATTAGATGATTGGGAGGCTTCCTTCTAATTCTTAGACTAGATGATATTATAGAACAGGGTGCCTGCCCCCTTTAAGAATAAGTGCATCTGGTTGCTTTAAACCAGTGCCACCGATGGGAATGTCAAATGCTGGTACAGAAGATGAAGCCTGAGTTCAGCAGAATCCTGACAGTCACTTCTGAACGGGAATGTGGTCTGCGGAGAGAGACGAAGACCAGACTCACTGAAGAGACGTTCGCATGTACGTCTCAGCCCGGCTAAGCCCACAGCCAAGATTCCGAGTACTGGCTAATCCAATCTCCAACACTGACTCCACATCAGTTTTAGAAAAGACTTATTTGTCCAGTCCTCCTGGTCATCTTGTACGGGAACCACCCTGGGCTTCAGCCGATGAAGCTGGCCTCCGGTGCTGGAGCTCCCCAGCCACTCACAGCCTCTAAAATTCACTTTCCTTTTCATTTTAAGAGAAAGGAAGACACACATATGACTCTCGGAAGAGACCAAGGGATCCCACTAGATGCTGGAAGTCTGACCACGGGCATGGAGAGAAGGCTTAGAGGAGGCAGGTTTAGAGTTTTCTGGCATTGATTCAGCTTGTTATTTTCTTTAAAACATAAAATCTCAGCTCTACAGTAGGCCACAAAGCTCACCAAAACTCCAAGCAGCCTCCAGACCATCAAGCCCAGTGGACCTACATTCTTGTCTCTACGAAGGAAAAAGGGGACACTACACATGTGCCAATGATATGGGGTAACAGCAACCTCACTGTTCAGAAAGATTCAAGAGTTCAAATGAAGGGTGTTCTCCTCCTTGGACAGTGAAACAAAATAAACACATCAAGCACTAGCTGCCCTAGTGAAAATCCTTTGTTGAACACGCAAACAATTACGAGATAAGAAATGAGAATAAACAACCGAATGCTTTGATGCTTTGAAAATATTCCTTCCCCCAAAACAGAAACAATTCATTTTATGAGTAAACCACGTTACCAAGCATCCAAAGAGAGAAACAAAAGAATAGCAACCTGAGAAGAAAGAGAGAACAAAACTAAGTTTAACATGATAGTGAGTGAGAACGCATTTAGCAGACTTCCGGGTTGGTCAGAGAAGGCTTCCGGGAAATGGTGAATTGAGATGAGCTTTTGGAATCTAGAGGTTCTTCCTCTGCCTTTTGTATAGAAAGCAGCCTTCTGTTTCTGTAGATGGCATCTGAAAAACCAGCTGCTCCATAAGGCACACTTATTTCCATTTCATACGAATCCAACTGCATGGGAATGCATCTTATAGTATATCAGCTGACCTCATGCCTGGAATTAATTGTTTTGGTAGAAAAATTCAAATGGCCCCAGGCAATATTTCCTTTATTTTTATTTTTTATTTTTATTGATTTTAGAGAGGGAAGAAGGAAGAGAGGGAGAGGGAGAGGGAAGGGGAGAGAGACATCTATGTGAGACACGCTGATTGCCCCCACTCCCACGTGCCCCAACTGGAGATTGAACCCAGAGCCCAGGCATGTGCCCTGACCAGGAAATGAACTTGCCACCCTTTGGTGTACAGGACGATGCTCCAACCCACCGAGCCACACAGGCCAGGGCTGCAGTATGTCTTCCTAAAAGGTTTGTTGTGAAATGTAATTGTTGGGATCACGTTTTTCTCATGATAACACAATTCCGATGGACTTAAGAGGTGAGAAACTCTGATTATGCTTGATTCTTAATTCAACTCAGTAGGAAAATCTGATTTCATTAATAGAAAGCTTTTTCAGACTTTTGCCATTTCCCCCCCATAAGCCATAGCTGATTTCATAATCACAATGTCACCTGAGATATGAGCCCATTTATATAATTTAATAATGAAGAGTTGATGATCATATCATTCAATAGTATACACTTTTCAAAAACAATTCCTCAAACCTTCTTACATTTACATTTCACAACATCTTGGTGGGTCAGGTGGCCTCAAATAGTGTTAATCCTCTTTTATAGAAAGGGGGAAATCAGCCCGGATGGTGTGGTTGAACGTCAACCCAGGCACCAAGAGGTCACCAGCTTGATTCCCAGTCAGGGCATATGCACAGGTTGTGGGCCAAATCCCCAGTGGGGGGCATGCAGGAGGCACCCCATCAATGTTCTCTCTCATTGACGTTTTTCTTTCTCTCTCCCTCTCCCTCCCAAGATCGATAAAGAAAAAAAGGAGGGGGGGATTGGATCTAGAGAAGAAAGACAACCTAACCCCAAGCTCATATGGCAAATCAACAGCAGAACCAAGCACTTGACTTTTTCCTCAATACCATCTAGGCTATTCTCCAAACACTTATGCAAAAACAACAACAAAAACCCCACGTATGCAGAGACATAACAGCAGTGGTAGCAACAGCTGATAATAACACCAGCAGATGTCACCCCATGTCATGGTTCGGTGACCGAGGCACAGGGTAGAAGAATTCTGACTTAGGTCACACAGCCAGCACCTGGCCCAACAGTGAATCAACTTCACACTATCTGATGCTTAAGAATCTTAAACCTTTTCTCTGATGAGATGACTGGGAGGCTCAGATTTCAAGTCCTCCAATCTTTGCTCAGAAGTCACCTTCCTCAATGAGGACAACCCTGAACACACTACTTACAACTGTAGGCCCATCGCTACCATGCCAAAGTTCATCCTCCTTAAATCATGTTTTTAATATTGATTGTTAACAGAAGCTTCACGGGGAAACAATTGTCACATTTGATTTTCACCGACATAACCCAGATGCTCAGACAGTGCTGTCCAACAGAACTTTTTGTAATGACGTTAATGTTCTATATCTGCGCTATATGGTGGCCATAAGCCACAGAACAAAACTGAAAAGTGGTTAGTGCCACTGAAGGATGGAACTGCTCATCCTATCTAATTTGACTAGTTAAATTTAAATAGCCGTTGTTTTTCAATAGAAGTAATGGCTAAAATAAGTCCAGATTAAATTAAGGAAATAGTTTGAAAATTCAGGTGCTAGGACCAAAATGGCAAGCACATGTTCTCCAGCTATTGGCTCCTTTTTGTCATCTGTGGCTCGAAACCCTCCAAAACATTTTTTTTGAAAACAGGAAAAGCAAATCAGCAGTACACAGTGAATTCCCATGTATGACTACATATATCTCTAGATATAATTACTATAATCACTCAATACCTTTTTGACCTTGTTTTTTTTCTCATAGGTCTCCGACAGAGGTTTTTTCTTCTGCTGAGTTGTGTCTTTGGAGAATAAATACTCAAATTCACTAGTATCCCGAATGTCTGGTTCTTCTAAGGAATCCCATAAGGTTGGTGTAGCGCTTTGGCTTAAAAGAGAAAATGACAAGTTAAACTTAAGAACCAAAACAGAAAAGAACAGATTAAACCTCTAATTCATGTTTCAACTCACTAGAAAAATAATACAAGTTTACATTTTTTTCCAAAAAATGTCAACAAACTGCAAGCCCCTGTTAATAAAGGTCTTAATGAAAACACACATACATACACACACATCCTAATATAGCTCAGAGAAAAGCTCTTTGCATTACAAAAATTTCACAAAGTCAAAATGTAATGTTGGACGTTAACGCAAATACACATTTCCAGACCAGAATGGTCATTAGATACAATCAAAGATTGAGAAACAGAGAGAGATCTAGAGAAACTTTTCGGGACCAGAAATCCTGGGCTTCCAACTGCTGAGTCAGTTGGCTGCTTTTCCCTCAGTCTGCAGCATTTCCATGGTAGATAAACATGGGCGTCATACAAAGGCTGAAGGATAACCAATCTTGAGACAGTGATGGGATCATTCTTTTTTTTTTAATTAGCTTAACCTTTAATAGAAGAATCAAATTGATTGAGTAAACCTATACTTAATTTCTGAGAATTTTTTACAAAATTATTAAAGCAGAAAAAAAAGAACAAAAATTCTTGCATCTCAATTCTACTACCCAGATGTTTTCAACATAACATTAAGTGTTCATCATTCTATAGTGATGGGATAATTCTTTTTTTTTTCTTTTTTATTGATTTTAGAGAGAGGGGAAGGGAGAGAGAGTAGACAGAAACATCAATGAGAGAGAACATCGACTGACTACCTCCTGCATGCCCCCCACTGGGGATCCGGCCCACCACCTAGGCATGTACCCTGACTGGGAATCGAACCGGCTACCTCTAGATGCATAGGTTGATGCTAAACCACTGAGCCACACCGGCCGGGTGTGATGAGATAATTCATAAACAGAATGAAAATGCACTACTAAGGTAAAGATTTACCCTCTCTTTGGATTTCTTCTTCTAGCTTTAAACATGGTGTTCTGGTCAACTCAGTGTAGGGCCCATAATATGTGCATGGGCTGTACTCACTTAGAAATACTTGATTTATAATACCCCACCCCAACAACAGTATTAATAATAAAAAACAAACCCCAAAATTCCATTGCAACAGCCCTCACTGGGATTTCAACTAAAGCAGCCATGGGGAAACTATCTTGCTTTGTCTTCAAAAAACAGGGCCACCCTAGTTTTGAAACAAAGGAAGGGAAGAAGAGATGAAAAATCAAGTGGAAGAGTGGCCTCTGAGAGCTGACTCACGGGTTACTATCCGGGCTCCCTTCAGCCAGAACACATTTCCCCCAAATGCCCACTTTCTTAACTTAGCTTCTAATCTTATTTTTAGTCACTTTTAATGCACACAGATAGAAAAAAAGTGTCTCCTCTACACATTTATTGTTTTTCAAACATATGTATGTTATAATCCATAATACTTATAAGCATTTACCTTTGTTTCAATATGCATTTTCTCAGTCACTGAAAACTAAAAGATCTATTATTCTATCAAGTGGTCCACAAAATTTTTTGATACTCAAAGGAGATTTTCAAATTCAAAGTAGTTGGGAACCCTGGCTTTTCGGATCTGCGTCTTCTCGTTTTGCTATATATGTCTGCGTTTCCCATGAAATATAACATTTTGGTTCTGGTCACATTTATTTCTCTCCACGTTTTCTTAAGTTATACATTTTTAATATAATGCTTGAGCCATTTAAGAGTATGGATGTGACCTATACAAGTTATAATATGTAACAGCATAATACATACCTGTGAAATCATCACCCACGGGCTAAAACATGTTTGATGAAGTACATCTATCTACGTGTCCCTTCCTCCACCACCCACCTCCGTCACTCAACTTCCGGTGGAAACCTGAGCGCCATTAATGTTAAGGGGCTTATCTCCATTGCACTCAGGAGGGGGCATCTCAGGGGCTGTCTGGGGCTCAGGAAGGTCCTGGGAGGCTGAGGAGAGGATGCTTAGAGGGAGGCGGTGTGGCGCATAAAGCAGGTTGCTCAGACTCATGCCCATCATCCCTTGTACCCGTCCGGCTTGGCCCAGCCCCAGGACTGAGCTCAGGCCAGTATGACAGAGGCTATAACTCATATTCTGTAGCACATTGGGTCTGGCAGTCAGGCTGAGCACTTCCTCACCATTTACCACATTGTTTCTATGGGAAAACACATTTCCAACAACGAATAAAGCAATTTTGAAATGCCACCTCAGTGAGTTGGCAGTCACTGGCATTTGCTGGGGCAGTAATGAGAACGTACTTCCAATGGACCATCTGCTCTCGCGGTCAACGCTTTTCTGGCCACTGGACATACCATTTTAGCCCAAAAGAAGAGGAAGAAGAGGAAGGAGGAAAAAGGAGTGGGGAGGGGAGAAAGGAGGGGGCAGGAGGGAGGATGGAGAATTAGGAGAGGGGAATGCAGGGGGAGGAGAAGATTCAGGAAGATACAGATTATTCATTAGGAAGCTGAAAAAGTAGATAGATGAGGATTTCTTTTTCTTTAATTAAATCTCTTCCCTGTTCTAGAACCAGACAACAGACCAAAAAAGGTAAATATGACAAAAGTTAAAACAGTTCATGTTAGTAGTGAAACGCAATCTCTGTGGACGAGAGGAAATGTACATACAACAGAAAAAAAATCCATATTTTACTCCCAGTTCCCTAGAAGACCAAGGGCAACATGTTTCATGTGTGCATTAGACAAGTGCTTACAACACCTAGTTGTACAAAATATTAAAATACCATTTCATCTCTTTAAAAAAAACACATCCAAAATGAATTTACTTTTGTCTATAAATAAATACTACACAAAATCTACAGACCGTTTTAGTTTAAAAGAAGTAGTCGGTCCTGGCCGGTGTGGCTCAGCTGGTTGGAGTGTCATCTGGCTGCCAGTTAGATTCCTAGTCAGGGCACATACCCAAGTTTGCAGGTTCAATCCCCTGGTGGGTGCATGAGAGGCAACCAATCGTTCTCTCTCTCTCTCTCATCTCCCTCTCTTTCTAAAAATCAATAAAACATATTTAAACAAATAAACAAAAAATCAAAGAAGTAGTCGTGCTCCGAGGAACACAAACATCTTGGGGGATCCACGTAAGAGATGAAATGTGTGGTACCGCAGGAAGTGCCCACGTCACAGTCTTCACACAGCACATGGGAAGCCCCCCTCCCCCAAGGTCAGGCTCAAGACTGACACGTTCAGCAGGCAGGCTCTCCTGACGTCCTGGGTCGGGAAAGTTGGGACATTCAGCTCCTTGTCATTATGCTCAAAACCGAAGCCCTAATTTATGCTAAAAATAATAAGAGCTTATGCCTTCGATCGTTTCCCTTCTCAACTACATAAAGAAGGAAAAACACAGACAATGATTATCTCCAGCTTGACTTCATCCCACCTTGAGCAGATGTGGGCGACGGGCCCATATCTCCCAGCAGCACTTAATACCCCTGCCATAGTCATGACATTGGTTGCTCATAGTCTGTGGGGAAGGAAGTAAAGGGCGAGACACAGGTGCGGCCGGCAAGGTGTGCTGTCTGAACAGGTGGGGTTCATCACCCTGGATGGGTTGCACATGAATTTCAGGACACTAATAAGGGAACACAACTCCAAATAAATATTCTGGGAAATTATTTCTTAGGAAATGTCGTCTGAGTCTTGAATGGGAAAAGGGGAATAGTAGTACTTTAGCTAATGGTTGGAGCTATTTCAGGGATCCTCTTGTGTTTCTTTAACCATTCATTAGGAAAATTATAAAGCATCAACATTTTTTTAAAAAGTATCAAGATTTTCCCCACATAAACTCTTGGCCCTTATTTTTTGGAGAGAGGAATGGGGCCAATATGAAGTACCTAGTCAACTTAGTTCACCAGGTGTTTAGTTTTAAGGTGTTCCCCACTCCTCCTACATTGATTTCCAGTTACTTTATGATTGTTATTATCTTCTTCAATATCCTGCCTTTTCCAATTATGTAAATTGAAAAATTCACCGCTGTATCTGGATTTGTGAATAAGTGCAAAAACTTCACTTTAAAAATGCGTTTTGTATTTTCTGTTCTTAGCAAACGAACTTCAAACCTAGAAAGTAGTCAAGAAGCAACTCAGCATCTCGTTATCCTCTCGACAGGCTTGGAATAAGGCAGAAGAAATCCTATGCAAATTCGTTTGATCAGAAGTTTCCAAATAGCCATATATTGCTGCCTTACAGACCCAGCTTAACAAGCTACACAAATGGAAAGTGCTTTTTAGCCATTCACACAATGGCACTTTCTGCAACAGGTGACCAGGTATGAGAGGGGAGGGTGCTGAGCAGTTATAGGAACCTGAGTTTAAGCAGATCATTTCTATTTTAAGACTCCCCTCTGACCTGAAGAGCTAATGACTCAGCTGTGTCTTGTTCTTTTAATAAAACATGAAAAATTACACATACCTGCTAGAAACCAGATCACAAGGTTTATGACATTATCTAAAGACAAGACAGATAGTCTAAAACTCTTCAGTGAACCTATAGTACAGATTTGGGCTTAATGTGTTTGTAAGTACTTGTGAATTGCAGGAATGTCGGAGAAGGCTCTAGCTTAGACCTGAGCTCTTCTCCAGTCTGCAAAGGGGTCTATTTATCTTAGAGAGGGATCTGACACTGAACACATCGTTTCTCCTGGCATCAATCCATAGGGAATACAGACAAACGTGTGGTGGGAACAGACCTCCCTCCCAAGCCACTCCAGCTCTGCCTACCCAACGCATTCACTGTGCCCCATTTGAGAGTGGGTGCTGCACTGCACAGACAGGCATTACACTGGTAAGGATAAAACTTCACTTGTGCAAAATTCTGGGAATTCACAAGCTGAAAGTGGATCGGGGAGAGGGGTTCATCTTACCTCTTATCACTTATTTGTATTCTAGTCCAGTACAGAGGCTTCATGGGACAACTGGGCTCAATGGCTGGCTTCCGAGGACATTGGCTAGAAGAAGGGCTGACTCCAAAGAACAGGCCAGGAGGAGGTGGGGGCACAAGTCCCGGGGGTGTTGGAGCAGGAGGAAGCCCCCCACTGCTGGGCAGAGCAGGTGAGCTAGGAAGTGGTGGCGGGGGCGGAGGTGGGGGAGGGCCAGCACTTGGAGGCAGGGGAGGTGGCGGAGGTGGGGGGGGTCCGGCACTCACAGGCGGTGGCGGAGGTGCTGGTGGCAGAGGTCCAAGTCCAGGGGGGAGGGGGGGAGGGGGAGGGATGGCTGCTGGCGCAGGTGGTGCTGCGGGGAGAGATGATGCCTTTTCCTGGCTCGGCGAGGTGCCTTCCGCAGATGGAAGTGGAGCATGAGTGTCTTTGTTGTCATTGGGGGGAGAGAGCTGGCTTAAAGAGGAGATATTCAGCTTTTTGGGTATGATTTGGTTGCTTCTGGTTGTCTTGCCATCACCTTCGCAGGGTTTGAGGAAAGTCTCTCTGTCTGTCTGGATGCACACATTTCTGTAGGTCTTCGGAGGACAGTCGTCGTCGGTGGAGATGCACGCATCTCGCATCTCTTCACACCCTCCGCGCCATCGGTGTTCTATCTGCTGCCTGAGCCCCTCGATGGTTTCTTCCAGTCTCGCTGTTATCACGGCATGCTCGCCCCGGATGTGAAAGGCCTGGAGTTCAAACTGAGCCTGTGGGGGTCAGTGGGAAGGAAAGCAAAGCGTTTATGAAAACGAGTATCAGACATACAAAATGCAATACCCTCTCCGTGCCCCCAGGGCACAGCTCATGTACACGCGGGAATACAGAGACGTTCTTTTGAGAACCCCACAGAGTGTACGTTTCACTTTATGAATTTTCCAAGGACTTAGACAGTTGGAGTTGAGGCAGAATTCCACCCAATATGAACTCGTGGGGAATAATTATCATGGATTAGGGCTTAAAGTAAAACTGTCATCTAAGAACTTTCACCCAGTGTTAACATCAAATGCAAGACAACATTTTAAATAAAGGTTTGAACATGCTTGAATATATCTTTTATTACTTTGGGATTTGGTTTGGGAAGAAAATTTTAAGAAAAAAACTGGATTTGGAGATCCTTCTGGCTTGAAGACTGTTCTCATTGTCTTCCTTAGAATGTCTCCTCGATGGGGTTTCCCAGCCAACACAGTGGAAACAAAGGGTGCAAGAAGCAGCTACGGTCTATGTGTATTTTCGTTAAAAGTCTCCACACTGCCTGACCGGTGTGGCTCAGTGGTTGAGCGTCGACCCATGCACCAAGAGGTCACCGGTTCGATTCCTGGTCAGGGCACACGCCCAGGTTGTGGGCCCAATCCCCAGTGCGGGGCATGCAGGAGGCGGCCAATCTATGTTCTCTCTCATCGATGTTTTTATCTCTTTCTCTCCTCTCCCTTCCTCTCTCTCTCAAATCAATAAAGGAAAAAAAATAAAATAAAAGTCTCCACACCAAAGCTGCCCATGATCAGTATTTGTATCTTTCACACTCATTCACAATACATAATAAATAAGCAATAGAAATGCATAGAAAAGGAGAATATCAAGATCTGCTATTTTTCTCATCTACACACCCAGCATTTTAAACTACATTTTATGACAGTCTTTTTAATACTCACATTTTCAGTTATGTCAATGCTTTGAGTCTATGGTTTTACACTTATTAGCACAGACCTGGTGTACTCCCAGTATTAACTAGTCCCTTTCCAGTTGGCCTGTTACAGTTAACTGGGCAGCAGTCAAATTTATAATCTTATTAGAGTTTCCAAAACCCAATGAATAGTAATTAAACATGTCCAGTGAATGTATTTAATGTCTGCCTACCCCATCAGATTTTAAGCGCCACAAGATGAAGTCAGGGACAGTATCTGTTCTTTTTTTCTTCTATGATTTTAGAGAGAGGGAGAGAGACAGAAACATCAATGAGAGAGAACAAGGACTGGCTGCCTCCTGCATGCCCCCCACTGGGGATTTGACCCACAACCTGGGCATGTGCCCTGACCGGGAATTGAACCGGCAGCCTCTTGGTGCATGGGTCGATGCTCAACCACTGAGCCACACCAGCCCGGCAGTATCTGCCTCAATGTCTGTATCCCAGCAGCCAGTACAGCAGGTACGTAGTACTGAAGAGACGGATGGATAAAAACCACATTCAGTCACTGTCCCAAGAGCCTCCCTTATGGCTAACCAAACTTTCTTCACTAATATCAGCCCATAGATATCTACATCACCAAAGTGCACACAAGTGCAGATCCATTTTGCATCGAAAGGTAAAAAAATATATTTGAATGGCCTAATCAGGAAAGGTAAAGAAGACATAGGAAGATTTGCTACTTTCATGACGACACTTGTGACTATATTTTTACTAGATCCACATTTCCCCCATGAATCAACCCCTAAGAACTATGGTCAGTAGAATTAGAGACAAGGTTTCTCTAGAGCCGACTTTCTCACATGTAACACGGCAGCCCCGATCCAACTCGGGAAGAACGAATGAGTTCGGGGCACCATCTATCTCTTGGGCGCTGAAACTTCTGTGCTCGACGAGTTCTGGATTCAGGCTACCTGGTTCACACCCTGGCTTACCCACCTGCTAGCCCTATGAGATTGGGCAGGAAAGTGTGTTTTCAAGCCTGAGTTTCCTCAAGTGTAAAGTGAGGGTAATAGTGAACCATCTCTCTAGGGTTTGTTGTTAATCCTCACCCTTTTCCATGGAGTTTTAGATAGAATGGAAGGGAGGGAGGGGGAGAGAGAAAGAGAGAAACATTAATGTAAAAGAGACACATTGATTGGTTGCCTCCCGTATGAACCCAACTGGGGCCAACGGGGATCAGGATTGAACCCACAATGTAGGTACATGCTCCTGACCAGGAATCAAACCTGAGACCCTTTGGTCTGCAGTCCGACACTCTAACTACTGAGCCAGATCAGTCAGGGCACTCTCTAGGGTTTTTATAAAGATAAAAGGAGATAACTTCCTATAAAGTACTAGATATTATATCTGAAACATTGTAAATTCTGAATAAATGTTTCTGTTAGTTACTGTTGTTTTCATGACAATATTACAGTAAAAGACTAACAGATCTCTAATTCTTTAAAATTTCCAAAGCATGACACCTTTGCAGAGTGATGGGCACAAAACTAGGAAATGCTTAGGCAGTCAGGATAGACAATGTGCTACAAATACAAGCATGTAGCCAATCTTTCATGAGTTGTACTACCAAATGCCTGGAAGTAATTTCAAGCTTCACTCAACTATGCGATCAAGATCATCTTTATTTCAACATCCTACCCATTGCTCTCTCTCTCTCCCCTGCCCACCTCACTCATATCCCAGCCCCGATTCCCACCCTGAATTACTTGCCACCATTTCATTTGAGTGACTAGTTTAGTCCTGCCACAGCAAACTAACTCTTGGTTGTAATTCCCAACTAACCTTCCTCCAAGAAGGTCGAGTGGCAAATAATATTGACGAGCCAATAATTTTACTCAACCTTCAACTTCTTAATAATATGGAGAAACTAAGACATGCTCCACAGAGAAACTTTCCCTTCATCTCTCAGCTGGCCTGTAACTACACCAAAGGCCCTGGTCTCCTGCTTTCCATCCAACCAAACATCTTCTGAATCCACTGAAACTGAGCTATGCACCTCAATACCGTTTTGGTGGCTCTGTGGTGTGTTGGCTTAGTGTAGAGTACAAATCGGGCAGGTCATTCTAGCTCTCTGCACCTCAGTTTTCTCATAAGTAAAATGGGGATGATAACAGAGTTCACCACATGAAGCAGCTATGAGAAGCAAATGAACCCGGCCAGTGTGGCTCAGTGGTTGAGCGTCGACCCATGCACCAAGAGGTCACCGGTTCAATTCCTGGTCAGGGCACATGCCCAGGTTGTGGGTCCAATCCCCAGTGCAGGGCATGCAGGAGGCGACCAACAGATGTTCTCTCTCATCGATGCTTCTATCTCTCTCTCCCTCTTCTTTCCTCTCTCTCTAAAATCAATAAAGAAAAAAGAAAGGAAGTAAATGAGGTAATAATATATGTAAAAAGCAGAGAGAGGAGTTGAAACATAGCAGAGGCTGAGTAAGCTCGCTGCCATTATTATCTCCAGGCTGTGGGACGGGTCAAGGCCAGGGGCCACATCAACATGCTTCTGACTCTTAGCACACTCCGCAGCCCCACGTTCTGTCCATAGAAAGCAAAAGGCAAGATATCCAAATCCTTCTCTAACCCCTTCCAGCGGCCACCCTTTCTTTCTCCCCCTACCTCTTTCTGGTCACAGCAGAGTCTTTGGGGGAGAAAAAAGCACAGAACTCTTGCTTTATCTGTTTTCCCATCCATTCTCCTTTCAACCAATAACAACTGGCTTCTGCCCCCACTGCCTTATGGAAACCGCATGATCTGAGCGTCACATTTGGTCAGCGCGTCTCAGTCGTTTTGTCCTCTGGGCTGCACTGCTAAGCCTGGCGGTTGCCCGTGCCTTGCAGTTCTCCCTGCTTCTCTAAACTTCTGAGACACACTCTCTACCCACCCCGCCTTCCTCCCTGTGCGGGCTGGCTCCAGTCAGCTCTGGACCCTCTTCTCCACTCATCCTTCAACGCCTTCGCCAGCCACTCTCCTTGCCGGTTCCTCTCTCCCAGACTACATGGTCCCCTCGTCATCCTGTGCACTCCTGTGAAATGACACTGTCTACTATCAACTGTAACTTCCAAAAGGTGACCTTCAAACTGTAATTCCGGCTCTTCTCTGGACTCGTCTCCCTACATATTTAATCTGCCGTGTCAGACTCCACGGGTGCGAAAACGAAGCCATCGCTGCCGAATCCCAGGTCGGCGCTCCCCCGAAATCCCTCCTTGCAGTTAAGGGCACCACCGTCCCTCAGTCATCACAGCCAGAAACCGGATGCCACGCTGAGTTCCCTGCTCTCTCTCAGTCCCAACATGTGACTTCTCAGCGAGCTACATTAATATCTGATTCATCCTTTTCCTTCCACCCCCACTGCCTCAGCCTGTCGCCGGGTCCTCCTTACCTGGACAATGGCAAGAGACACCTAATTCATGTTCCTCATCCCAGTTTGGCCACACTGGTTCTAGGAGGATTTAAACAACAACAACAACAAAGCAGATCTTTATTCCTTAAAAGCCTTGCAATAATTGGCCATTACATTGAAAATCTTTTAGCACGAACACCCTGAGAGCTCTTCCGATCCGTTTTCTGCCAACTTTCTCCACTTTGGGCTTCGGCCGCTTGCCCAGAGATGTCCTGGACTCCAGCTTACATAGTGTCTTGCCTCCCCCAGGTCCATGCTCTCTCATGCATCTGAGCCTTCCCAAGCGGTGCCCTCTCTCGGTACCCCTCTGCTGCAAACACCCAGCACAGATACCAGACTGTATTCGCCGATAAGGAGAACTACCAAATAAGAAGGAAATATTGAATTCCCATGTACTCCATATCAATATGCCGAGACTGTAGTAAGAAACCCTTCTGACCATTAAAAGTTAAATGGCCCACATAAAGACATAACTTACCTTTGCCCTTCCCTGTTTCACAACCTCTTTGATCCTTCTGATTTTGTCTTGGTTGTGTTCAGAAGCTCAGCATGACACAGTAATTCAAAGTGATTAAAGTAATAAGCACCTCATTCATTCTGTATCTGCCCATAGCCTATCAATTATTG